AACCCTACCGATACCTGGACAGGCACTGTGAGTATGCAATGCCATTTCTTTTCTGGTCTTACGGATTGCTTGCAGCCATCTGCAGTTACATCAAAGTGAACTCACCGCATTAACTGGGCAACCAAAACTCCCATGATTTTGTACTCAACTTAATCAGCCTTTAATTTGAGAGTTTTGCAGTTAGCACTAAGAGGTGGAACAGGTTGGTATCTTTTATTCCAACAGGAGTTCAATTTGCTTATCAAAATTATCTCCCCCTCTCTCTCCGGTCCTTCCAGCCGTACCAGGAAGGAGCCTAGGGCTTTTACACTGAGCACATCTCCAGTCCTTTTCTGTTATTTTTTATTTTGAGATAGGATCTTACTAAGTTGCCCCAGGCTGGGGTCAATTTGTGATCTTCCTGCCTCGCCTCCCAGAGTGCAGAGATTGTAGGTGTGAGCCATCAAGTCCTGCTTTATCAGGCCTTTCTATGTTTTCTACTAAAGCACCCAGTGAAAGGAAGCTAGAAACTTGAGTCTCAGTCTTCACTCTCCCTCTTCTGTCACAGCTCCTCCCTTAACAAATGTGGACTGAGTGCCAAAATGCCCCGGACATTTCTTTAGGTCTGAAAACTAGAGTGATCAAGAACTGAAGTCCAAACATTAGACCCAGTAGAGGAAAAGCAGACAATACATATACCCACAAATAAACAATGTATTAGTGTAAGATGCAGAAGTGTTATGAAGGATACAGGCCGGATGGGATGTAAATGCAGTAGCACAGCCAAGCAGGACATGGGAATCCTTCAAACCTAACTTGTTAGCAGATGAGAAGAATCACCCGAGCAGCCCCAGATGAAGAAGAGCAGCCACAGCTGGGCCCGCTGGAGGCCTGGCATGCATAGCGGGCTGAGGTCTGTCAAACACGGGGGAGCGCAGCAGATGAGCAGATCAGCCCCTCTGCTGGTGCCTGAGATGAGAATATTCGCAGAGCCGCTCTGAGTCTCGGGCTCCCCAGTTCTAAAATGGGGATGTCACGCCTTCAGACTGCTAAGAGAATTCAAGTGAAATAACAGATACAAAACCACATGGACACATTTAAAATACCGTGTGTGGATGCTGACACTGTTACACAGTAAACTCATTCTCTCCGTAGGTTCCCTGTCTAGCTGCCTTGAATCCCAATAGTCCATATCTCACTAGCAAGTATTATTTTTAGAGTATAAGAACATCCTTTCTAAACTTACTGCATGGCATTATTAGTAAGCTGTTAATTCAGCTCAGAAAATACCAATAAACCACTGCATGATGCTAAGAAGGAGAAGGAGCCAAAAGAGACCAGGGTCATGGATATCAGAAACAAGACAGAAAAAGTCATGCTTTAATAATAATAAGATGAATTATGTTTTAATAATAATACAGTGGGAAAATATCCTATAAAGTACATAGAAAATAACATCAATTTTTTAAAACTGAAAACTATATGACTTATGTTGTATTTGCATAGTAATAGGATATTTTCTTAAGTATCAATGCTTTGAAAATGAAATGTTTGCACATTAGATATCTCCACTATTTATAGCAATAGCTTTGGAAGGAAAACAAAGACCCTTCTTACTGCCTCTAACACTAGGACAGGCTTCCATTTTCACCGGCTATGGAATAATGGACTCTAGTGTTCTTTTAAATCTGAGCTCTTCCTTACATTTTCTAATAAGTTTTCTCCCACCAATCCAGTACTGAGGTATTAGGAAGAGGTGGAGAAGAGAAGAGAGCACTGTTTGCGACTCCACAGCAAGCTCTCATACCCACTCACAGCAGGGCCAAAGCGGTCCTCTGCTGGGGACATGCGGGATGCTGTGGAGTGCAGTCTGCCGCAACCCTGACACTCACACCACAGGGATGACGTGCACACAAACATCAAGAAGTGTTCTGCGTTTGTGGCTGACGTGCTTCATTTTTGTGGTAGGCAAATTGGGCAATGCTTCCACTCTCAATGGTTGTTTTTCAAATTATGGGAGAAGATTCCCTCAAGACATTCACATCTGCACAACCCAGCATAAACCTGCCTAGTGCAGACTGCATGGGCTCTGCAGGAAAATACAAGGGTATTCCTGATTTCTTTGAGAAGGGAAACAAATACACATGACAATCATACAGGGCAGAATTGGACTCTGGATATAAAAAATGCTCCTCTGAGGGACAGAACACAATTAGGCTGGAGGAAGCAGGGGAAGGAAGGGCTTCTGTGCAGCCTTGAAGGATAAATTAACAGAAGGGAATTTTACAGTGTGGGGGTGGGAAGATAGGCATGAGAAAAAAAGCAGTATATCAGTAAGGACTTAACACAAGAACACTGACTAGTGCTTTCCCAGTCACTGTTTTAGTATACATTTCAAACAGGAGTTTCAAGAGATTTGCAAAGTAAACCAGCTAAGTTTAACACACTGAAAGCTATACTCATTAATTTTCCTTAGAAAAGGCTTGACCAAGGGCAAGCTGTACTAAGAACATCTCATCTGAAACATAATCTGGTATCAGCTTTAGAAGCAGTCTAATTCCTGATAAAGTAATTAACTCAAAAAGCACTCAGCTCTGATAAACTTAACACTCAAGCATGCACACACACACACACACACACACACACACACACACACACACACAAGCACACATGCAGACTATTCTCCAATCTTCCACTAACATATGAATTGATAACCTCGCAAGAGCTCCATCAGAGAAGCACAGCGCCCAGGGCTAGATCTGCCCTGTGCACACCCTGTGCAGTTAGCACAGTTAGCGAGCTGCTGCAGCGGGAGGACTTCTTATCTGGATGCTCCGAGCTATTACTCTAAGGACAGCACCCAGCAAAAGATCTCCCTGAGCAAGCTTTTAAGAAAAGATAAGAAAGGGCAAACAGTTCAGTCTTCAGGGTCATCCTGTGCAATGCTAAGCTTCCCAAATATTCCTTGGAAACAAAAGCAAAAGAAAAGTAGTAATTAAATTAAGAAGCCAAAATCCTACTGTAATTATTTTATCATTAAAAATGGAATGTAATACTTTTCTTTATAACCACCATACAACAAATACCCTAATTAGTGTTGTAATCTTTTATTTAATTCATCAATGTGTTTTCTTTCCTCAAAATAATCTTAAACACAGCTGCTAACCAAAGACAATAAATTATAGGATTCTACATACATGAGATGCCAGAATAGATGAATTAAATTAAGGATGGCCCAGGGCCAGGAATGGCAGGGGTGGGAAGGGGAGAAAGCAGTGACTGCTGTAGACACAAGGTTTCTTTTATATGATGAAAATGTCCTAAAATTCATGGTGGTGGTGGGTGCACATGTGTCAGGGTGCTGAGAAACACTGAAATGTACACTTTACATTGGTGAATTGCTTGCTGTGGACCAGCTGGGACCCCTGGAGATGGGCTGTCACCCAAGTCCAAGATCCTGAGGTTGGGCAGGTTCTGGGTCAGTGCCAATGGTCAAGGGAGTTAACTTGGACTCGAGTTCCAGCAGCTGGAGCTGCTCCAGGAAGGGGAACGAGAAGTCAGTGAACTTCCTGATGTAGTTGAAACTCAGCAAGAGGTTCCTGGTGGTGCTGGGGACTGGGAGGACCTGTTTAAGGTTGCAGAAATGAAACAAGGCTATCTGGCCATCAGAGGAGCACGACTGGACTCTGAGCACAGGGCTGGCTGCCAGCACCACACCTACCAGGAGGCCAAGTGGACCAACCATGGTCCTGTGGAGGAAGATGGGACAAGGCACTCAGCTCAAGTCAGTGCCCATGGGCCCAGAGCTTTGGGATCCCCTAGTCTCTGCTTTCCTGCAGGCCCTTTTGCCCCTCTGATCTGGTGAGTGGGCTTCAGGCAGAGGCTGCTGGGAAGACAAAGCTGTTACCGTCAGCCATGACACTTCATGCTGCAGTGTCTCCATGCTGGTCACCACTCCAGGGATCTAAAGGACACTGTGCCGGGCTAGGGATGTAGTTCAGCTGTGACAGCGCTTGCCCAGCATGCCTGGGTCCTATGTTCCATCCCTAGTACCACAAACAAGATGAAACAAAACCAACAGAACCTTACCTATTCTTTAAATTAACTGTCTTTGTTCATTCCTTCAAAATTTGCTGAGGAAAATTGCAGGAAGAGACAGAATGTTGCTTCCTCTCAGCCAGAGGGTCCCTTCCAGCCCCAAAAGCTCACCTGAGGACTGGCAAACACTCCACTGTCCCTGTCTCTGCCCTGGCCTCCAGACCGCCTCCAGGGGTCCCAGCTGGTCCACAGCCACCACAGGGAATTGGTGCACTCTGTGTGGCCTCTCCAGCACCTGACTGGGTCAGTGTCATGGGATGCACTGGGAGCCCTGCACAGGCTGATATCTGTGTGTGTGAGAGCCTGACAGTGGCCTGTCCACCCACCGACGTCCCCAGGGAAGCTGACCGATCTTGGTGTGGGTGTCTGCATAGTGTGAGTCACGGCAGAGCAAGTGTTGTGTGCATGTGTCCCAAGTACTGTGCGGGGTCCTGTGAGAACAGAGGGAGACTGCAGGGCCCCATCCTCAAATCTGCCACCATGCACCTCCTCCAGGCCTGCTGCTGGGGTTGCATTCCATTTGCCCACCTTCATGTTCCTGTACGGATCACCCATCTCTGGTTAGATGCAGCATCTCAGGCATCTCACAGGGCACATCTCGGGCGAGCTGAGGGAGCAGTGGTTGTTGACAGGGACAGGGCTCCTGAGGAGCATTTCTTCATCTACAGCCACTTAGGCCCATTGGGTCCTCATGGGGAGGGAACAGGCACACCCCAGGGGCAGGGGCCCTGGCGTCACAACAGCCCTGTGCCTTGAAGGGCCAGCCGGCATCACTCAGCACTAGGATGCCCTCCACTGTTCCCAAAGGCCAAGCACTTGATCCAGGGCCCCTCGGAAGTGGACTGGGCATCACCTGTGTGGTTACCCACTGGATCTTCAGGGGCGAACCTGCCTGTCAGGCTGGGAGACTCAACCTGGCTCACCTGGACTCTACACAGCATGTCTCCACACTCAGGGTCACGTTTCCGTGGCCAGGCTCTTCGGGAATCAGGAACAGGATTTCTTGGTCGCCTGGGTGACAGCCACTCATGTGCAAGCAAATTCATGGGGTTTTCCTTTCAGCATATTAGGGTAATTTAAAAGGTATTCGTTAAATATTACTTTATTTCACTGAAATCCAAATTTGCTCTTTCTAACCAATCGGTCTGAGTGCCCACCTACCTCTTTTTGTCTTCCAGTGTCACAGTACCAAGCACACACATGAAAATACACATCAGACCACAAAGCCTTTCCTTTTTCTCTCCCAGCTGGTGTATGGTATTGATTTATTCAGGATTCTGTGCAAGGCAGAAGGTGCTGTGCTGGTGGATTTCACATGGGGGTTGCTCAAACACCTGCTCTGGAGGGCCTCGCCTGATGCCGGGCACTCTGGGGCCAAGGCTCTTGTTCCCCACTCAGAGTTCTTACAGGGACCTGAAACAGAAACCAGGATTCCTCTGGATGCTACGTACTCTCCCCATACAACCTGTGATGGTTTCATTTGTGAGTGGCCACACTGCCCTGAGGGTGAGATTAAATGTACATCAGCCTCTTTAGCTGCCACATCAGCCACATTGTTTCCCCTGGTAATGGGATCATTCCTTTTCTGTGGGCCTTGCAATGTATTATGGCCACTTTCTCAGGTAGCCAAATTGCTGCCAACAGGTCTAGTATTTGGGGGGCATTTTTTATTTTATCTCCTGCTGAGGTCAATAGTCCTCTTGCCTGACAAACTGCCCCATGTACGTGAAGGGTTGCAAAAGCATATCTGCTATCGGTAGAGATGTTAATCTGCTTAACTTCAGCGAGCTTTAGGGCTTCTGTCAAGGCGCTGAGTTCAGCTCACTGAGCAGAAGTGCCAGAGTCCAGCCCCTTTGCCCACAAAATCTGGGTCTTGGAGGTCACTTCTGCCCCTGCAACTCATTTAGCTTGGTGCATGTAGCAGCTTCCATCCGAGAAGAGTGATGATACACCCTCTAAAGGTTGGTCAGTCAGGTCGGGTCTGAGGCTTTGGTAGCTGTCGATCATGGTGGCGCATTCATGATACGGGGCTGAAGAATCCTCATATGGCAACAGTGTGGCTGGACTCAGGGCTGCCAAAGACTTGAAGGCAATAGAGTCAGGATCTAAAAGTAATGCTTGGTAGTGCATTTGACAACCTTGCATTTGACAGCCATCAGTCAGGAGGTCAGATAAGAGTCTCAAGTGAGTGAGAGGTTACCACAGTGACCTTCTGGTCAAAGGTAAGCTTCTTAGCTTCCTTTATCAGCATAGCCACGGCAGCTATGATCTTTAAACATGGTGGCCAACTATCAGCCACTGCATCCAACCTTTCGGAGAAATAAGCTCTTGGTCTCTGCCATGGCTCCAGTTCTTGAGTTATTACTCCTTTTGCAATTCTTCTCAGTTCATCCACACACAGGAAAAATGTCTTATATATGTTAGGGAGTCCCAGTGTGTGGGCATCTGTTAAGGCCTGCCTCAATTGTTGGAAGGCTATCTCTTGCATTTCTGTCCATTCTAGTGGGCCTTGTGTTTGTCCCTTTAAAGAGTCATATAGCAGCTGGGCTATCTCAGCAAAGTTTAATATCCAGAGCCTACAATATCCCACTGCACCAGGAAACTTCCGGACTTGCTTCTTGGTCTTTCTTACTGGTGTTTGTAGGATAGCTCGAACCCTTTTACTTGAAAGGGTCCTCTTTCTACCTTGCAATTGACAGCCCAGGTAGGTCACTGTCGGCTGGCATATTTGGGCCTTTTTTGCTGATACCTTATATCCCAAATCATGTAAGTCACTAACAGAGCCCTGGTGGCCTCTTTGCAATCCTCAAAGGTTTTAGTGGCCACTAACAGGCCATCAACATATTGCAAAAGTATGACCTCTGGATGATCTTCTCCATACCCCATCAGGTCCCTAGCTAAGTCCTCATCAAATAATGTGGGAACATTTTTAAAACTTTGTGGTAAACGAGTCCAAGTCAATTGTCCAGTTATCCCAATCCCTGGATCAGTCCATTCAAAAAAAAAATGGGTTGACTTCCAGGGCCACCGGGAGGGTGAAGAAAGCATCTTTCAAGTCCAGGACAGAATACAAGATGTGATCTGGGCTCAGAAGACTCAGCAAAGTGTAGGGATGAGGGACAGTAGGATGCAGGGTGACCACTCACCTGTTGACTTCCTGGAGATCTTGCACTGGCCGGTAATCTTGGGTCCAACAACTTACAGACTGGGAGCAATGGTGTATTCCAGGGAGAGATGCAAGGTACAAGAATCTTATTATCCTTTAAACTAGCAATATGTTTTGCAATTCCTTGGCGGGCCTGTAAACTTATTGGATACTGTCTACGGCAGATGGCAGATACCTGGGTAACAACTCTATTACCAGAGGAACTTGGTTTATCGCCAGACCGGGAGAGTTATTTTCAGCCCAGACTCCTGGTATTTGCCTTTGCCACCCCTGTAGGACATTTCTGTCAGTCTCTGGAGTGGGATCATCTCCCAGTGGGAGATGATTTTCCCCTTCAGGAAGGAAGGCAAGTACCTTCATTTGTTCCCCAGGTGTTGTTCCCAGAGTCAGTTGTGGTGTCTCCGCCTGAAAACTCAATTGGACCTTTACCTTATGAAGGAGGTCTCTTCCTAGCAGTGGATCAAGGCATTCCGGAACCCATAGAAATTCATGCATAGTGGTCTTTTGCCCAGGGCGAGTTAACTGGACCACCACCTTCGGGTATGATTTTCACCCTCTGGTGGCGCCGACCATGTTTACTTTGTTATCAGTCAGAGTTCCCAACAGTTGAGTTAGAATAGAATAGTTGCGCCCCTGTCCACCAAGAAATTTACTGGTTTCCCCCCACTTGCAGAGTTATCCCGGGCTGGGGGGGGCACCTGAGCCCTGACACCCTCCTTGTTGTTTCAATAAGGTCTTCGCATCTCTCTCCATTTTGGCCTTTAATTTGGGGCAGTCCTTTCACCACTGCCTCATTTCTGTACAATAGGCACATTGAGTTTTCTCAAGCGGGGGGCGCTTTTTCTCCTTGTCTTCTGACTTCCCTTTTTGTTTCTGCTTGTTTCTTTTTTGCATAACAGTTCCAGCACCTTAGTGACTTTTTTATGATTTACCTCTTGCCAGTTCTCTCTGTTGTCAAATACACTATGTGCTAACTCTACCAAGTGACTTAGGGGAATTCCCTCAAGCCCCTCCAGTTTCTGTAATTTCTTTCTAATGTCTGGGGCTGACTGAAACACCAAGGCAATGGTATAGCCCTTGCCTTGTCATGCACAACCGGACCAATTGGAGTATAAAGCCTCTAGGCCTCCAGGAGGCGCTCCAGGAATGCAGAAGGGGATTCATCAGCCAATTGTCTTACCCCTGATACCTTGGACAAATTTGTGGGCTTCTTAGCTGCTCCATGGAGTGCTGCCAGAAACAGTTGGTGATATTGGGTCAAAGCCTCCTTACCCCTGCATGTGTTGGGATCCCAGACAGGATGGGATAAAGGAAACAAGCATCCAGTCGTTCCGGGTCAGCTCTGGTGGTCCCATTCAGGTCCAAGACACATTTTCGCCCTAGAACACAGATGCGAGTTCGCTCTTCAGAGGTGAAGAGGACCCTTAGAATCTGCTGACAGTCGTCCCAGGTGGGACGATGGGTGGAAAAAATAGACACAAATAGACTAATCAGGCTTTCAGGGACCTTGTAGAATGGGGGGTTTTGGCCCTTCCAATTGAACAGGTCAGAAATTGCAAAAGGGGTACAGAAAAAGATCGAGTCCACAGGATCCCTAGGGTTGGGAACCTCCCCAAGTGGGCAGAACACTGACTCCTCCATAAAGTAGTCAGGTGAATTTGGCTGTTGCCTACTCCGGGTCCAGACTGGACTGTGGGGTGGGAGGAAGTGTCAGGTGAGCGGTCCCCAGAAAGGGGATACGGGGGAGGAAGGAGCACATCTTCCAGAGGGTCCTCCTCAGAGTGTAAGACTGGAGCAGAGGGCTGGGAATCAGAGGCAGGCGATATTGGTTTCGTTTTTAACGCTGCCACCACCTCCACTCATGGGGAACGATGATGAATCCACGGTGGGGAATCGTAGATGACATCTATCCAAATCTGAATGTAAACAATCTGGTCTTGTTGAGAAGGAGGTCCAAATACATACCAACGGATGGCCTGAGCTGTTTCTATGTTAAATGACCCCGTTGGGGGCCAAATAACATTTGTCCCTACCAGCCATTCCTGAGGAACAAAAACCATTAACTCCCCTTGAAAATGAGCTCCCATAATCTCTTTTTTTAAAATTTTATTTAAGAGAAAAAAGAGAAAAACACAAAACAATACAAAGCGGTATAAGGGTGCACGTAATACAGAACTACAAAAAAAAAAAAAACAGTAAGAAATCACCTCTTAATAGATTACATATTATCAACTTAGAAATAGTTGCTCAAATCACAGTATCAAAGAATACAAAGTGGACATTCAGACAGAGAGACTGCAAACAGCTGTGTTCAATGATCCAAAAACATTAATATAGTCAGCTATTTAACACCCCTAAACACACTTGCTGTTATATCCATTAGAGCTCTTTCCCCCCCCCCTCTCCTTTTTACAACAAAATTTACACATTGTGGATTTTATTACTCCTTAGTTCTTGTTACTTTTTTGGGGGAAGAGAATAAAGTCAAATATGGCAAAACAAAGCTGTCAGTCAAAACCAAGGATAGACATAGCACATGATGTAAAACAGAGTACAAGGTTATCAACAATGGTTATCAACGTTGTCTCTTGTTTCCTTAAAAAGAATTGTCTATCTCATTAGATATTATAAAGTGGGACAGGGGACTCTGGATTTCTGTGCCCAGACTGCTGGAGTTCCCTCAGGCTTCCAGGTGCAGTGAAGGAGAGAGGTGGGTTTGAGGCTTCCACATCAGCCTCCCCATTCCCGGCTTCATTTGGAGACCTGCTGAGCTCCCGATAGGTGGGCTGGCCCACACTACCAGCCTAGCCCAGCCTGTTTAGCTGCCGCGCCTGGCCATAGGTCTGCAGAGGAGGAGCTGGGCAGATCTGGGGTGCCCTCACTGGCCTCTCTGCGTGTCTGGAGGACTCTGGATTTCTGCGCCCAGACCGCTGGAGTTCCCTCAGGCTTCCAGGTGCAGTGAAGGAGAGAGGTGGGTTTGAGGCTTCCACATCAGCCTCCCCATTCCCGGCTTCATTTGGAGACCTGCTGAGCTCCCGATAGGTGGGCTGGCCCACACTACCAACCTAGCCCAGCCTGTTTAGCTGCCGCGCCTGGCCATAGGTCTGCAGAGGAGGAGCTGGGAAGATCTGGGGTGCCCTCACTGGCCTCTCTGCATGTCTGGAGGACTCTGGATATCTCTGCAACCAGGGAGGGTCCACAGGTTCCTGAAGCACTGCGGCCTGTGGTGAGTACCCTAACCCGGCTGCGATTGAAGAACTGTGGAGCTTCCAAGGGGCAGGTGGGCGCACAGTGTCCCTGAGGCCCAGCTTGTCTGGAACTGCGGAGTTCTGAGCAGGCAGAGGAGGGCCACTGGTTCTGTAGGCCTAATGGCTTGGAGTAGCGCGGCGCCAGAGTCCCAGTAGCTCCAAACATAGAAGGGGATTTTCAACAGATCCTGAGGAAGCTTTCAAGTAACACTTGAAACACAGAAATATAGGAAAATGACAAAACGAAAGACCAAATTACAACCTCAAACCTCCAGCCCATCTCAAGAAACCCTAGGAGCGATGTATATAGAAGAAAATATATCCCATCCACCTCATATATCGGACACAATAGCCACTGAAATTGACAAGCAAATCCAGGAAGCTTTAAAGAAATTCAAACTCGAAATAATCTCCCAGATAAAAGAAGAAATGATAAAAGAAATGAAAGAGATTCTAAATATATCTAAAGAAAACACAGATAAAAAATTGGAGGAACTAAACAAAAAGATAGAATCCCTAGACGAACAATATAAGAAACAAACAAAATACATAATGCAGATGCACAGAGATATACAGGAAATAAAAAACTCCACTGAAAGTTGTAAAAACCGCCTTAATGAAAGTGAAGATAGAATTTCAGACCTTGAAGACAGGATTGCAGCTAGTGAACAGGAAAGGAAAGATCTTTTGAAAATAACAAGGAACCAGGAAACAACAATTCAACAACTGCAAGACGATGCAAAGAAGAATAACATAAGAATGATAGGGATTAATGAAAGAGAGGGAGACAACATGAAGGATGTCAAGAGGATATTTAGAGAAGTAATAGCTGAAAATTTCCCAAGCATGAGATCAGAAAAGGACATCAGGATCAGTGAAGCATATAGAACTCCAAACAGTCATAACCAAAATAAAACTACACCCAGACATATAATAGTCACCATCCCAGAAATCCAACACAAGAATAGATTATTAAAAGCTGTCAGAGAGAAAAGACAAATACTTATAAAGGAAAACCTATCAGAATCACAGCAGACTTCTCAGCACAAACAATAAAGTCAAGAAGAGCATGGAGTGAAGTATTCCAGATCCTAAAGCAAAATGATTTCCAACCAAGACTGATATATCCTGCAAAACTATCATTCAAAATAGATGGTGCAATACGATACTTCCATGACAAAGAACAGCTGAAGAACTTCATGAACACCAAACCAACCCTGCAAAAAATATTGAAAGACAGTTTAGATACACAAAGGGAAAAACCACTAAGCAAAGCAAATAATTAAACAGAACCGAAAGATAAAGATGCAACAGCAGAGAGATAACATTCCTACAATTAACCAGCATTTAACAGTAATAACCATTAATGTAAATGGTCTCAATGCACCAATCAAAAGAAACAGACTAGCAGAATGGATCAAGAAACAAAATCCAACCATATGCTGTTTACAGAAAACCCATCTGACCCAGAAGGATACTCACAGACTGAAAGTCAAAGGATGGAAAACAATTCTTCATGCAGCAGGAATCCAAAAAAAGGCAGGAGTAGCCATTCTGTTTGCAGACAACGTGAACTTTAAACCAACAATGACCATAAAGGACAAAGAAGGTCACTACATACTCGTGAGGGGAAAACTCCAAGAGGAAGAGATAACTATCTTAAATATATACGCACCAAACTCCAGAGCACCCAGTTATATAAAACAATTATTAACAGAAATGAAAACTCAAATTATCAGTAACACAATTGTAACAGGAGACCTTAATACACCACTGACACCAAGGGACAGATCAACCAGACAGAAAATGAGCAAAGAAATAACAGAACTGAATCACACCTGTGAACAAATGGGTTTGATAGACATATACAGAATGTTCCACCCAACAACATCAGAATACACATTCTTCTCAGCAGTACATGGATCATTTTCTAAAATAGACCATATATTAGCTCACAGAACATATTTAAGCAAATGCAAAAGAGTTGAAATCATCCCTTGCATATTATCGGATCATAGCGCTCTGAAATTAGAAATTAATGACAAAGGATACTGCAAAAATTCCGCAAACACATGGAAACTAAATAACACACTCTTGAGTAATCAGTGGGTCACAGAAGAAATTAAAGAAGAAATTAAACAATACCTAAAAGAAAATGAAAATGCAGATACAACTTACCGGAATCTGTGGGATGCAATGAAAGCCGTTCTGAGAGGAAAATTTATTGCACTGAGTTCCCACATCAGGAAAACAGAACGAATACAAATAAATAACTTGATGCTACACCTCAAACAGCTAGAAAAAGAAGAGCAAGTCAAGCCCAAAGCCAAAAGAAGAGAGGAAATTATAAAAATCAGAGCAGAAATCAATGCAATAGAGACTAAGAAAACAATCCAAAGAATCAACGAATCAAAGAGTTGGTTCTTTGAAAGAATAAATAAAATCGATAAGCCCCTAGCCAACCTTATTAAAAAAAGGAAAGAAAAAGCTCAAATTCATGCAATAAGAAATGAAAAAGGAGAAATCACTACAGACCCAATAGAAATACAGAGGATCATCAACACCTATTTCGTAAACCTCTACTCTCAAAAGTTTGATAACACAGAAGAAATAGACAGATTCTTAGAAGCATATGAAGTACCAAAGCTAGATCAAGAGGATATAAAACTGTTGAATAACCCAATCTCTGCTAATGAAATTGAGAATGTAATTGGGTCCTTGCCCACCAAGAAGAGCCCAGGCCCAGATGGATTCACTGCAGAATTCTACAAGAAATATAAAGAAGACCTAATGCCGACACTCCTCAAACTATTCAATGAAATTGAAAGGGAAGCAATCCTTCCTAAGTCATTCCTGGAAGCAAATATTACTCTAGTACCAAAACCTGAGAAAGACCCAACTATAAAAGAGAACTATAGACCGATCTCCCTAATGAACACAGATGCAAAAATCCTCAATAAAATATTGGCAAATAGGATCCAGCAAATCATCAAGAAGATTATACAC